CCTAACTAGTATGCCCAACAGCACCCCCCCAAAGCTGTTCGGAACCCTAGGCCCCTCACAGTATAGACCCCAAAGCTTGAAGCTGTTGGGGAACAACAACACCAACATACTCTCTGCCTTAAAATGGAGCTGCTGGACCCCTGGGAAAAAACAAGCAGATCACGGGACATCATGGCTGGTTTTTGCTTTAGCTTCTGACGCCTAGTTGGTCAGAGGGGAGACGGGTGTATGCGCTGGCCTTGGTCCCTTTAGAGTCAAGCCCTGGCCCCTGGAAAAAACCCGATGGCCATCCGAATGCGCTGACCGGGGTGTTTCTGAAAATATGGGAGCACCCAAACTGGATTGCTGGCTTTTGTTTCCCTCCCAGTCCCAAAAAACGGCCCAGTTTGGACAGGCCCCAAGGCTTGTTTGGAGATGGCCGGGCCAAACTCCCTGCCAGTCTGAAGGGTCCTGTTGTTTCATCTATCAATTTTACTTAGGGACCCTTGGGTGGACATCATTCAGGTGATTCAGGTGGGTATTTATGTCCACCAGTCTCTTTTCAGGGGGTTCCCCAGTAAAATTCGCAGCCAATTGAGTTGCCAGCACTACGGCGACTTTGCTTCCTGGGATGACAGAGGTTGACCACTTTGGGATTCCACCTGGAGGTTTGGGGATGAAAGAAACGAGTTTGCATGTAGAGACTGCAAGGCCAACGTGCTTGCTGGCCACACCCAACACCTCGGAAAGGAAGCCGGTGCTGGGGGGTGGCGTTCTCCAAGATTCACAGAAGCAGACGGCGGTCGTTTCTCAGATCTCTGGAAAGGCTTCTGGTACACTTCCGTGATGCGGGAGTTTGTTTGACATGTGTGTCGAGTTCCGGATCAATGTGAAACAAGTTGTTTCTGCCGTTGATCCTGCAGGAAGCTTTGAGCTAGCAGAAGCTGACACGGCTTTGGACGACCAACCATCCACAAACAGTCACGAACAGGCATTGGTTTTGGTTTGGACTGTAGTGATTTGGTCGTGTAAAGCATCTTTCCCAGCAAGTGGGGGGGGCAGACGCCAGGACTACGGCCCAAAAAAGCCTACGCGAAAATATGTTTTTCTTTGCCATCGACCATAAGCATGAGTCTTCAGAACTGCTAAGCAGGTCTACACAGCACATGAGAGCTCCACCTGGCTTCTTGCAAGTGTTTCGACTCGAGCTTTCATTGTTTTTAGTGACTTGGCAGGTAGAACATTGGCTGCTTCAGTTTGCGCAGCCTCTTGTCGGGAGCTTGGAGAAGCTATAGCCAGACCACTGCCGATGCCTGTAGATTGACCGTGTAGTGTCCATAGCGTTCGCTTCTTGAAACCCGTTTAGAAACCCTCCTTCAGCAGGGTCCCCATGCTTCCCCTTCTCCAATTTAAGGAAGCTTCCTTTTGGTGGGCTATTGTTGAAGGGGCAAATGTAGGGAGTCCTGTTCATGCGATGCCATGGAAGCTCCTTAGTTTCACTTAGGGTGATGGCTTCCTGGGGGGTTTGCCTTTAAACCAACCAGAGATATGTTTCGGACTCGTACTTGCTTTCCCCAACCTCAATAGAATTGCGCCATCGACGTTTTACCCAACTTTTGCATGACTATGATCTGCAGCCACATATGAAAAACACAAAAAGGGACATTCCCGAGCAACCCGTCAGCTCTGAGCAAATTAGTTCACAGGGCAAGACGAGCTCAGGTTCTCCAACAGGACAGGTAGTATTTCCATGTGAATTATATCAATTATAGCCACACAAAATATGCCTGCATTTTTCCGGTTGGAAGATCCGCACACCGGGCGGGTTGTTGCTGCCTCCTGAATCAACCTGCCTGTTTGGTTTCCTTCATATTCCCTTTCATCCAGCAACAAGTTCGGGAGCGCTGGTTTCCGTGTGTGGGCTCCGAACCGCGAGATTTGAAAGGTGAACTCCCTGGCGGTCGCCTGCATAGAGGACCGCCTGGTGGCATTCTGCGTGCCCGGCTCTGAATCTGGCACTGAGTTCCTGGGTTGCTGGACTTGATACTCTTCTGAGGGTTGATCCACCATTCTCTTCAACCCTTGTTCTCTGTAGAGACGTGCATTTTCCAGGGTTTCGCTTTTTTCCAAGAGAGAAATTCGGAGGATCATATGTTGGTGTCTGGATCATTTTAGTGGCAAACAAACAGTTTGAACTTGCTTTGGCCAATCCACCCCGGAACTGAGAGTAGCAAGAGGAAGCTTCCATTTGATTCCACGGTCAACGCCCAGAAAGGGTTGGTCGTTTGGGGGCTGAATCGAAAGGATACCAAAAGGACCCAAATGAGGATGGTAATTTATTGCTCCGTGCGCCGGCCTCGCAAGTCCGCCGCGATGGATGGATGGATGACGGACGGACGGAGGGCTGGCTGGCTGGCTGGCTGGCTAGCTGGCTGGATGGATGGGATGGATGGATTGGATGGATTGGATGAATTGGATGGATTGGATGGGTTGGATGGGATGGATGGATTGGATGGATTGGATGGATTGGATGAATTGGATGGATTGGATGGGTTGGATGGGATGGATGGATTGGATGGATTGGATGGATTGGATGGATTGGATGGATTGGATGGATTGGATGGGTTGGATGGATTGGATGGATTGGATGGGATGGATGAAACACGCGCGATGGACGGATGGGAGCGCGCGCATGCGCACCTTCGCGACTGGCTCGGAAAAGCTGGCCAGGGGCTTCCGAGGACGTCAGCGATGCTGGCAATGCTGCCGGGTTGCTTCATATTTACAGTGTTGTGAGCACTCCCCCAACTCGAGCTCCAATGGCAGCAAGGGCGGTGATGATTGCTATATGGTGGTTTGAAACATCATTGTTGTTGGCCCATTTGCGGTGAGCTCGGTAGGAGTCATGTGTTCAGGAATACTGGGAATTCCGAGTTGCACGGCTGACTTTGCCGTGCTTCAAAGGCCGTCTCCGGCCTTGTCGACAACTGCCGTCCGCCGAGTGCTGCGCAGGGGCGCCAAGGGCCGGCCGCGCGGGGTTGATCGAATCCGAAGCAAGAGTTGAGGGTCAACACAACATGCAGCTTGCATCCACCGCGCGCGGCGGAAATATAACTACATGGTACGGTATGTCTACACAACATAGAAGCGTACATAGCGACACATATAGACACCTGTACACATGTACGTTTTATCTTTATCCAGGTTATCCCATCCGAGGCGCTGTGCTGCGCTTCTTTTCCGAGAAGCAGGCGACGTGGGGGAGGGGGGGAGACATGGGTATTTTTCCTAGACACCCGAAAACAACAACCAGGAAAAGTTGACAGAGCTCCTGAAACGGTAAAATTTGGCCATTTGCCGCATTTCCTTGTCCAACGGACCGAAACGCAACCAGTATTGTTGTGGCTCTCTAATAATCAGGTCATGTGCCCCTTCTGCAGTTGAGTTGAAGTTGTCGGGTTCCTTCTGTGGGAACCATGATCACCCCCTATAAGGATTTCTGACCATGGAACATGTTGCCCAGAACATCCCCGCCATCGTTTAGGATGGAATGCGGGAAGGGGGCAGTTTCCCCGTGGAATTCATTTGTAGTTTTATTTTTCTATTGGGACACCACCACCCCCTTCACTTTAAGATTGCGCGGGGATCTTGAGGCGTTCTGTTGTTTGGTGGTTGAGGTCGACGCCGCTTACTGTTTTTTGTTGCGAAGGAAATGGCCACTACTGCTACTTTGTTTGAATGACACCTTGAGAACGCCTCTGTTTTACCCTGACAAGAATTCTGCGGCAAGTTTGATCGCGCTAGAAGCTATCGCACTAGGGACTTGGGCAAGAGCTTTTTGGCAGTTGACTTGGGCATTGGAGAAATGGGTGCTAAGACCAGGGTTTCTTTCCGGAGCAGAAACGCCGAGGCTGCCGAGGTAGCTTCTTTAGCAATGCCAACCAGCGAACCCCAAACCATGTATGAACCCACTCCCCCGAAAACACAAATTTATTGGGAAGACAATCTTGGCGCAAGCGTTGAAGTGAGGAGCAGTTTTGTGACCTACTTGCAGATTGCATACATACTGTCTCTCATGGACAGGTCCTCCACACCTGCTCCGTCCTAATGGGCTCCATTGTGAAAATACATTTTTCTTCAAGGGTGGAAGGAATGGCCAGCAACTTCATTGGGGAGTTTAGAAAACCAATGCAAGGGTTCCTGCAAGACCATGCCTGTGACTCAAACTTTGGGAGTGTTGACCATGCGTGACCTACAGTTGGGCCAAAAAATACAAGCTGATTTAGAGGTCCAAATCCTGGTAAAGCAGGTGGTTGTTGCATGTATCCTTTTACCTCGGTTAGGGAACCTTGTCAAAGATCCCTGCAAACTGATAAGGTGTTCTCGGGGAGGGGTCGGGGAAGAAGGGGTCAAAGTGACAAAATCATGGTCTAGGTCTTGCAGTAGTGCCCTTTTACCCTTTGTTGGGGGAGGGTTTCCCTACGAAAACGACTGCAGAACAAAGGGTGCTCTTGTTCTAATCTCTCTACTGAAGGACCTAGTGGTGCTTTCCCGAGCATCGCTGAACCGCGATCGAAACCGGCGTCCTCGATAATACTCAGTAACTCAGAAGCTCAGGCTCAAACACATCCAGGCGTGGCCAGTTTTTCTTGGCTGAGCCTGAACATGTCACCAAAGTCTTTGCTGAGCTCACTAATGGCTTCAAAGAACAATCTTGCTCACATGCACTCGTCAAGGCTTACTAAGGCTTACTCAGGCTTACTAGTCCTTACAAAGTGTTAAACACATTGCTGAGCAACAGTGGCCGAGGCTCATGTCTAATGCTTGATTTGATCCCAGCCCCCTTACCCCTCCCACTTAGCACCCTATCATCAACCCCCTCGCCATTCGCTTCAACCTCCTCACCCAAGAAACAGCCAAAAAGAAACCCGACCCTGCCGCAGAGTCACCCGTCCCTATTGCATGGGATATAATACGATATGTTTAGGAGCGAACTCCGCTTGCCTCAGGTGCCCCGCGCC